TGAAATGCATGTGTCTCACCCGACGTATTTGCTCGATCCACGCACACAATGGGCACAATCCTCAAACCCCCAACAACAACCCCAACAACAAACCCCACAAACATCAACCTCCCATCAAACACCACGACGACACAGACCCCAACCTCAATACCAACCTCAATCCCAACCTCAATATCAATACACCCATATGCCCCACACCCAACCCCAATCCCAACTTCAAAACCAATACACTCATATGTCTTACACCCAACCCCAATCCCAACCTCAATACCAATACACACAAATTCCCCACACACAATTCTGGTACTCTGAACAAAGACTGTACATCCAACATCCCGATGTGGGCCCGTCATCATCTCACCTTAGCTCAGATCTAGGTGAACCTGAAGAATATGACTCATCCTATCCATCTTACCATCAACCATCACATCACCCTAGCACCCAACAATTGCAATACCAAATTCCACACGACTCTTTTATTTACACAAATCTCACTTTTCAGACGACCAGTGCTATCAATCATCCATGGAACCTCACTCACCATCAATGCGATGAAACTTTGAGGGCATGGGTAACCGACTATTTCAAAGCAGATCTTCTGAATGTGTTGATCTAACGGGTTTCTTTGATCCTGAACGCATTGACTATGTTGGGCCTTTGACCCAACCTTAACAGGAAAATCATCGAAACGCACCAAGAACAAGGCGGGGACGCGGGTGCGGAACAGATAGTCGTTATCAAGTTCCGAGGAGGAACAACTAAATAATATGTAACTGTTACTCTCATTATGTAATCGTATAGTTATTAATAATCGAACTTATGCAATACCATCTCGCACTTGTCTTTTATTTAAAATAGAAAAAAATCACTTTGCCCCCCAAAACACTTAGGCGCTATCTGAGATGGCTTAGAGCAAACACATTGCACCTATGCGCCATCTCAATTGGCGCATCTTTAGAAAAATTAAGTGCATTCGCCAAGTCAATTGGCACCACCATTCACATGTTTTCTGAAAAATAATTATTTATATAATTTTTTCTGAAACGTAGTTATTTGTGTATTTTTTCTTAATAAATAGTTATTGTAAAAAAATTTCAATAATAATAGTTAAATTGAAAAATATATTTTTGTAACTACTACCAACACCGATAAAAAAATCGGGAAAAAAAAAGTTATGAAGAAGAAAAAAAATCTCAAAATTTGAATCCTTTAATAGCACACCTCAATCCCGAAACCATCCCTTTCATTCTTTTCTCTCTCCCTTTCCATCTTCTCTTTCTATATCTTTCGAAATAATAAGTTGAAAAATTAATGAGCACATTTCCTTTTAGAGAAAAAAAAAAGAAACTTTCACAATAAACAAAAAAATAAAAATAAAAATAAAAGAGGAATATGTGCCATGCTTTGTATCAATACATAGCAGCATAAAAATCAATGGAGGAGAAGAAGAGAAAAGCAAACACAAACCCCACCCACTCATCCTCCACCACCACCATGGCATTTTCCGACGAGATTCCGACCACAACCACCACCATCAACAATAACACATCTTTATTCCCTTTTCAACCTTCAATCTCCACCATCTTTGACACGTTGCCATCTTCCTCGTGTGACCAAAAAGTTTCCTCTTTTGGATTCATGGACTTGTTAGGCTCCCACGATTACAACATAAACAACAACACTTTTTTGTTATCCGATTGGGTTCTTCCTACAACAACCACGGTCATCCAACCTCTTCCATCGCCGGCGAGTTCCAACGTCCTCGACTCCTCCGAGGTGTTGAACACACCAACATCACCAAACTCAACTTCAATTTCTTCATCATCTCACGAAGCCACCTTTAACAACAACACCATAGAACAACAACAACATAGAAGTAAAGTTTCAAAAACTGAACATGATGCAGAGGTAGAAGAAGAAGATGGAAATGGAGTCAAAGAAAATGACAAATATCAAGACAAGACAAAGAAACAGTGAGTGACTTCTTTTCTTGTCCTTGCTATTCTCATCACTCGTCTCTGTTTTTTCATGTCAATTATTTTATCATTTATACTCATTTTAACATAAAATGAAGGCTAAAAGCAAAGAAGAAGAATCAAAAGAAGGAAAGAGAACCCAGATTTGCTTTCATGACAAAGAGTGAAGTTGATAACCTAGACGATGGCTATAGATGGCGTAAGTACGGTCAAAAAGCTGTTAAAAACAGTCCTTATCCCAGGTAAAGCCAATCTTTCTGCCATTTTTTCTTTTCTCAATTGATAACTGATTCTGCATAGCTATCAAACATAAATAAATATATCTCTACACAACTATTAACTGATACAATAAACAAAGAGTATTGTAATGTCTCTACACAACTATTCACGATACAATAAACAAAGAGCGTTGTAATCACTAACAATTTTTTTATTATGGTGGCATTAGGGCCACGCTAATTATATTTTAATTTACTAATTATTATTATTTAATTTTGACTTGCGGGACACGTTAATGTGTCCGCGTTGAAACAAAAACAGGAGTTACTATCGTTGTACCACGGCAGCCTGCGGCGTGAAAAAGCGCGTGGAGCGTTCATCCGATGATTCTTCCATTGTCGTTACTACATACGAGGGTCAACACACACATCCTTCACCTGCCACGTCACGTCCGAACCTCAGCTTCGTTAACGAACCTTCTAGCTTCGGTGCCGGTGCATTTGGTGGTGGTAGTTCAAGTTCAGGTTCACACTCACAGTCACACTTTGTTCTACCACACGCTTCATCATTGTTGTACAATAATAGTACTAATCCCACTACCAATTCTACTACTACACCCCCTACACTTGGTTCTAGTGGTGGTTATCTTAACACGTCGTCGTTTGGTGGTTTTGTTCACGACCAAGCGATTCATCAAAGAGGTTTTGGAGGTTCCAACGAGGCTATGTTAAGAGACAATGGGTTGCTTCAGGATATTATTACTCAGATGAAGAAAGAGGAAAAAGATTCAATCAATGAACAACACTAGGTGAAAATTATGGTAATACATTATAGATATAGATTATTCATATATTATTAATTAATATGGATTATTTTATGTGTCTATATATTGCTTTTGCAGCTATAGGTTTGGTTTTATATGAAATTGGAGGTTAATTAATTTGGTTTTAAAATGACTAGAGTATTATTGCCTTTTGAGCGTATAAAGGAGCTTGGGATTTTGTTTTTGTTTTTTTCATTGTTATTAATATTTGTTTGCTTATTTTATATGTGCTGTTTTTTGTAACTATACATATTTTATTCCATGGTGAATTATTTTCCCCTTAATCTTTTCTTACGTGGTGAATTTCTTTGATCACTTATGTTTGTTTGACATGATTTATTCATCTAGACAAAATGGTATTAGGGTTTGCTTTAATTTTGTTCATATATTTAGTATGAAGAACTAGCAAAAACTTTGTTGAGGTAATATGAAAAAGTGTTAGGAATAGGATTGTCCCATTCCATGACTTAAAAACAATGCACGAGGTGTGGAAAAGGTTGAAAGATGATTACTTGAGCAAGTAGCTTTTTGTACAATAGTACTAGTAGCTTTTTATCATCATCATCACTCTACCTTAATGAGGTTCATACGAAGATGGGCTTTAGCAATTCAATGATGACATGTATTTCCAAGGACGGTAATGACTCCAGTATGGTGGTGAGTGGAGAAATAGTATGGATTCCTATGTACACTAGCTAGCAATGAAGTTGTAACTATAGATGTAGTCATTCTACTTATCACTTCTAGGCCTTTATATACCTTTCATGAGCATATATGAGAAGTCTAAATTAAAAAAAAAAAATTGATGCAATAAAGTTTAGTTTGTTTTAATAGTTTATCGCATGGTTTTAAATAATGGTTAGGTTTGCGTAAAGACTTTTATGATTTTCTTAATTGTAATTGTCACGGTGTGAATTTATTGTTAAATTGTAATTTCTTGTGTCCGAAGTAGTATGTTATTCGATAAAATAAGGGTATGTCGAACTTAGTTGTGTGTGTCGAAGTATGTTTGTCGAAGTATCAAAGCATGTTGCTTCACACAAGATTTCGACTTAAATCAAAATAGTTATTTTGGGTTTTTTCTATTTGTGGACTTTGCCTTATGGGGCAAGCAAATTCATTATAAATAGAGGGAGTAATCCCTATTTTATAACAGAGTATTCACATAATTTTACAGTTGCAAAGTGAATACGATTTTTCTATAGTTTGTGGGTAGAGAGAAACTTTGCAGGCAATCATCATCTTCTTGCATATTTTGTCAAATCATAATTCTTTCTTTCATTGTATATTGATAACAATCTTGTTCATCAAGATTGATAAAAATTCTCCATAGATTTTGGTGGATTTCTAACATCTGATATTTAGAGCTCCGATTGAGCGATTCAAGGGAAGAAAATCATGATGGCAATGAATCATCCGAATGGGCATTTTCCAGCAAGTCCTCCAATTCTGAAAGTTGATAACTATGAGAATTGATACAAGCAGATGAAGGTTGTGTTTTATTGTCAAGATCTTTGGGATCTTGTGAAAGAAGGGTTAGAACCGTTTAAAGAAAACACAACAAAAGAAGAAGAGGATGCAAACAAAGATTTGAAGAAGAATTATAAAGTTCTCTTTATAATTCATCAATGTATGAGTACATATAATTTCGACAAGGTTGGTGATGTAGAATCTGCGAAAGAAGCTTGGGAAATTAAGGAAAAGTCTTTTGGAGGTGTAGAAAAGGTGAAAGAGGTGACGTTACAAACTCACAAAAGAACGTATGAACTGCTTTAGATGGAAGAAAGTGAAAGCATAACTGATTTCTTCATCAGGGTTACGAAACTAGTGAATCAAATCAAAGTATGTGAACAAGTGTTAACAACAAGATCAGTTGTTGCAAAGATCTTTGGCTCTGAAGTTTGACCACACGGTGATAGTCGTAGAAGAGTTAAAAGGTTTGTCGAAGGGCTGAAAGAGCTGCATGCAAGTCGAAGAGTGATATGGCTTTGCAAGCGCACTCAACAAGAGAAAAAAATGTAAAGAAAAGTGGGTTCGACAATAAAGATAGAAGAGACTACAACAATTCGACTGGTAGAGGAGACCGGCATGAAGGAATTATGTCGAATCGGCGAAGACCCCATACCAAGGCAACCAAAGAGATGGTGCTGGAGGTAGAGGATGATGTGGTGGTCGAAAACCTAACAAGAGTCACATTTAGTGTTTCAATTGTCAGAAGTATTATCAATATTCTAGTGATTGTCCAGAAAAACGAAAGAATCGAGAAAGTGATGCAAAGTTTGCAAAAATTGAATAAGAAGAAGAGATGATGTTGATGGTCACAACAAGAGATGAAGAGAGATTCAAGGATCAATGGTACTTGGACTCAGGATGCTCATCACACATGTGTGGAAGGAAATATTGATTTGTCAACATAAAACTCTCAATGAAGAATAAGGTGAAATTCGCAAATGACAATACTCTAGCTGCTGAAGGTATTGGAGACATTCTAATTATGAGGAGAGATGGAAAGAGGTCAATAATTTCTAATGTGTTATACATATCAGGCATGAAGAGCAATTTGCTTAGTATAGGTTCCTATGTGCATTAGCTAGCAATGTATTTGTAACTATGATGTAGCCATTCTACTTATCACTTCTAGGCCTTTATATACCTTTCATGAGCATATCTAAGAAGTCTAAACTATAAACGAATTTTGAAGCAATAAAGTTTAGTTTGTTTTAATAGTTTATCGCATGGTTTAAAATAATGGTTAGGCTTCCATAAAGACTTTTATGATTTTGTTAATTGTAATTGTCACGATGTGAATTTATTATTGAATTGTAATTTTTTGTGTCGAAGTAGTATGTTATTTGACAAAATAAGGGTATGTCGAACTTAGTTGTGTGTGTCGAAGATGTTTGTCGAGGTGTCGAAGCAGGTTGCTGCACACAGGATTTCGACTTAGATCTAAATAGTTATTTTGGGCTTTTTCTATTTGTGAGCTTTGTCTTATGGAGCAAGCAAATTCATTATAAATAGAGGGGGTAATCCCTATTTTGTAACAGAGTATTCACATAATTTTGCAGTTGCAAAGTGAATAAGATTTTTCTACAGTTTGTGGACAGAGAGAAACTTTGCAGAAAATCATCATCTTCTTGCATACTTTGTTAAATCCTAATTCTTTCTTTCATTGTATATTGATAACAATCTTGTTCATCAAGATTGATAAAAATTCTCCATAGATTTTGGTGGATTTCTAACATCTGGTATCTAGAGCTCCGGTTGAGCGATTCAAGGAAAGAAAATCATGATGGTTGTGAACCATCCGAATGGCTATTTTCCAGCAAGTCTTCAAATTTCGAAAGTTGATAACTATGAGAATTGGTGCAAGCAGATGAAGGTTGTGTTATATTATCAAGGTCTTTGATATCTTGTGAAAGAAGGTTTAGATCCGCTTAAAGAAAACACAACAGAAGAAGAAGAGGATGCACACAAAGAATTGAAGAAGAAGAATTATAAAGCTCTATTTATGACTCATCAATGTCTGAGTACATATAATTTCGAAAAGGTTAGTGATGTAGAATCTGCAAAAGAAGCTTGGGAAATTAAGGAAAAGTCTTTTGGAGGTGCAGAAAAGGTGAGGTTACAAACTCGCAAAAGATCGTATGAACTGCTTCAGATGGAAGAAAGTGAAAGCATAACTGATTTCTTCACTAGGGTTACAAAACTAGTGAATCAAATTAAAGTATGTGGGAAAGTGTTAACAACAAGATCAGTTGTTGCAAAGATCTTTGACTCTGAAGTTTGACCACGTAGTGGTAGCCATAGAAGAGTCAAAAGATTTGTCGAAGGCTGAAAGAGCTGCATGCAAGTCGAAGAGTGATGTGGCTTTGCAAGCACACTCAACAAGAGAAAAGAAATGTACAGAAAAGTGGGTTCGACAATAAAGGTAGAGGAGGCTACAACAGTTTGACTGGTAGAGGAGACTAGCATGCAAGAATTGTGTCGAATAAGCGAAGACCCCATACAAAGGCAACCAAAGAGGTGGTGCTAGAGGTAGAGGAAGATGTGGGGGTCGAAAACCTGACAAGAGTCACATTCAGTGTTTCAATTATCAGAAGTATGATCATTATTTTAGTGAGTGTCTAGAAAAACGAAAGAATCGAGAAAGTGATGCAAAGTTTGCAAAACATGAAGAAGAATAGATGACGTTGATGGTCACAACAAGAGATGAAAAGAGATTCAAGGACCAGATTGATTTGTCAACATAAAACCCTCAATGAAGAACATAGTGAAATTCACAAATGACAATACTCTAGCTGCTGAAGGTATTGGAGACGTTCTAATTATGAGGAGAGATGGCAAGATATCAGTAATTTCCAATATGTTCTACATATCAGGCATGAAGAGCAATTTACTTAGTATATGATCCTATGTACACTAGCTAGCAATGAAGTTGTAACTACAGATGTAGCCATTCTACTTATCACTTCTAGGCCTTTATTAACCTTTCATGAGCATATAAGAAGTCTAAACCATAAAAAAATTGAAGCAGTAAAGTTTTGTTTGTTTTAATAGTTTATCGCATGGTTTTAAATATTGGTTAGGCTTGCATATAGACTTTTATGATTTTGTTAATTATAATTGTCACAGTGTGAATTTATTGTTGAATTGTAATTTATTGTGTCGAAGTAGTATGTTACTAGACAAAACAAGGGTATGTCGAACTTAGTTGTGTGTGTCGAAGTATGTCTGTCGAAGTGTCAAAGCAGGTTGCTTCACACAGGATTTCGACTTAGATCTAAATAGTTATTTTGGGCTTTTTCTATTTGTGAGATTTGGCTTATGGAGCAAGCAAACTCATTATAAATAGAGGAAGTAACCCCTATTTTGTAACAGAGTATTCACATAATTTTACAGTTGCAATGTGAATTATATTTTTCTACAGTTTGTGGGCAGAGAGAAACTCTGCAGAAAATCATCATCTTCTTGCATATTTTGTCAAACCCTAATTATTTCTTTCATTGTGTATGGATAATAATCTTGTTCATCAAGATCGATAAAAATTCTCCATAGGTTTTAGTAGATTTCTAACATCTGGCATCTAGAGCTTCGGTTGAGCGATTCAAGGGAAGAAAATCACGATGGCAGTGAATCATCCAAATGGACATTTTCCAGCAAGTCTTCCAATTCTGAAAGTTGATAACTATGAGAATTGGTGCAAGCATATGAAGGTTGTGTTTTGTTTTCAAGATCTTTGGGATCTTGTGAAAGAAGGGTTAGAACCGCTTAAAGAAAACTCAACATAAGAAGAAGAGGATGCACACAAATAATTGAAGAAGAAGAATTATAAAGCTCTCTTTATAATTCATCAATGTCTGAGTACATATAATTTCGAAAAGGTTAGTGATGTAGAATCTGCGAAAGAAGCTTGGGAAATTATGGAAAAATATTTTGGAGGTGCCGAAAAGGTGAAAGAGGTGAGGTTACAAACTCACAAAAGAACGCATGAATTGCTTCAAATGGAAGAAAGTGAGAGCATAACTGATTTATTCACCAGAGTTACGAAACTAGTGAATCAAATCAAAGTATATGGACAAGTGTTAACAACAAGATCAGTTGTTGCAAAGATCTTTGGCTCCAAAGTTTTACCTAGTGGTGGTAGCCATAGAATAGTCAAAAGATTTGTCGAAGGGATGAAAGAGTTGCATGCAAGTCGGAGAGTGATGTGGCTTTACAAGCACAAACAACAAGAGAAAAGAAATTCAAAGAAAAGTGGGTTCAACAATAAAGGTAGAGGAGCCTACAACAATTCGACTGGTAGAAGAGACCATCATGAAGGAATTGTATCGAATCAGAGAAGACCCCATACCAAGGCAACCAAAGAGGTGTTGTTGGAGGTAGAGGAATATGTGGTGGTCGAAAACCTGACAAGAGTCACATTCAGTGTTTCAATTTTCAGAAGTATGATCACTATTCTAGTGATTGTCCAGAAAAATGAAAGAATCGAGAAAGTGATGCAAAGTTTGCAAAACATGAAGAAGTAGAAGAGATGATGTTGATGGTCACAACAAGAGATGAAGAGATATTCAAGGACCAATGGTACTTGGACTCAGGATGCTCATCACACATGTCTGGAAGAAAAGATTAATTTGTCAACATAAAACCCTCTATGAAGAATATGGTGAATTTCGCAAATGACAATACTCTAGCTGCTGAAGGTATTGGAGACATTCTAATTATGAGGAGAGATGGCAAGAGGTCAGTATTTTCCAATGTGTTCTACATATCAGGCATGAAGAGAGATAGCAGTTGGTCGAAAAAAATTATAAAGTGTCGATCAAAGACAAGATGACGAGAGTCGTCGACGCAAGAAGAAGATTAATCTTGAAGGCTCATATGTCTCAAAATAGAACCTTCGAGATCGAACTAAATGTGATGGAGCACAAGTGCCTTGCCACTACAGCTAGTATGGATAAATGGATATGGTACTATCGACTAGGACATCTCAACTTCAAAGACATCAGAGATTTGAAAAGAAGAAATATGGTTTCAAGATTTTCAAAAATCGACATTCCAAATGAGGTATGTGAGGAATGTGTGCAGGAAAAGCAGCACAAGAATAACTTTAAAAAGGATGCAGGAAGCAAGTCGAAAGCTATTCTTGAAATCATATACTCTGATGTATGTGGTCCTATACAAGTGGATTCTATTGGAGGTAACATGTACTTTGTCACATTCATAGATGATTGTTGTCGAAAATTATGGACTTACCTGATCAAGAAGAAAAGTGAAGTGATTGAGCTATTTTTCAAGTTCAAATTATGGTCAAAAGCTCAAGATTCTGAGGACTGATGGTGGTGGAGAATTTTTGTCAAAAGACTTCGACATGTTATGTGAGAAAGAAGAAATTGTGCATGAGTTGGTGCCACCCTACACTCCACAACAGAATGGAACTACATAAAGGAAGAATCGAACCATCATAAATATGGTGAGAAGTATGTTAAAAGGTGTTGTACCCCAAAAAAATTTATCCCATTTTCACTCAAGACATGCCTCTAGAGGTCCTCAATTGCTCAAGGATGACCAAGAATTAACCAGACAACTCTTCTCCTAAGGAAATGAACCCCTAGCTAGGGTTTCCATTTTCATCAAGATGTTTGAACTCCAATGGTCTTAAATGATTTAAATGGTCCTAATATGTCTTCAAGATCACCCATGCAAATTTTCATGCCTTGCTCAACAAGTTTGCTCAGTCAACTGCTCAAATGCCTGGAAATAAACTATATTAGGTCAAAAGTCAACTGTGGCCCAAATACAGTCAAAC